GAGAATGGAGCATATTTGAAAAAATTTCTATATGCTAAGAGTGCTATTATTTCTTCTTGCGAGACAAATGGGGAGCAGCATAGATGTTATTTCTAAAAAGGTCTGAAAAGCAGACCTTAGTTATTCTCTGAAAAGCAGTACTCTGATATCATTGTATTTGTTTGACTAAAAAGTGAATCCCTTCAAAATTAGTCAGGAATGCAAAAGAAGACGAGTTTATTCAAAATATCATTAATGTAATCTCTTCAAGGAATATTAATGCATTTCCTTTTCGCATTCCAGATTATTCAGCGGGACTTGAGTCTCGGGTACAAGAAGTAATCGCACTTCTAGATGCTGGGTATAATGAGGAAGTCAAAATGGTAGGAATTTGTGGAACTTGCGGAATAGGTAAATGAACAATAGCAAGTGCTGTGTGTAATTTCATTGCTCATCATTTTGAAGATTTATGGTATTTTTCTGGTTCTTCTATTTATACAATACATTTTCGGGACACGAGTTGTTTATCACATCATATAGCAATATATTCAGTTCTTACTGAAATAGCCAGGGGCAACGGTTCCAAATTGGATGATTACCATAAGATGATAATACAACCCTGGTTCCCTCAAAAAGAGACTCTTGTAATTCTGGATGGTGTTGAAGAATTAGATCAGTTACAAGCAGTTAATGAAGGATGTGACTAGTTTGGTCAAGGAAGCAGGATCATTATCAAGACAAGGAATAAACAGTTGTTAGTAAGTCATGGTATTGAAAAATTTACGATGTAAAGAATTTAAGTGATGATGAGGCTCTTCAAATGCTTTCCCGGATTGCTTTTGAAAAGGACAATGTGAAATCTGGTTACGTGGACGGTACAAAACATGCAATACTTTGTTCAGGTGGCATTCCATTAGTTTAGGAGGTGATGGGCAATTACTTACTTGGTAAAACAGTAGATGCACTGTGCAATGGATGAGATAGAAAAAGGCCCAATGCAGATGCTTCCGTGCTTTAGTAAATTCAGACTCAATGAGAAGCAGCTAAAGGAGTTTATTGCTTTTATGAAAGAGAAAGAACCTCAATCAATCTTTTCATCAACGGTGAAGGGTACTAGGAGAAAAGGGAAGACACTGAAAGCGAAGAGACACAAGTTGAGGGAAAGAAGTGCCATGCTTGAAACATGAGCTAGAATCCACGAACCAAACCCAATCAAATATTAGAATTCAACAGTCAACATTGGCAGAAATGCTTGTTGAGCATGCAAGTATATATTGCTTTTTTGTCTTGTTTATTCATGCAACTGTTCGATCTTTTCGTGTTTATGTGTGCTATTGTCCCCCCCCCCTTTTGGGCTCCTCTCTGTTATATTGTGCATGTTCCATCTCTTTTATGAGTTATTTGTGGTACCATGTCCTCTGCTTTTCAATTCAGGAGGCAGAGAGCCTTGATTGTTCTCATGAAAATCAAAATCAGCAACATAACAACGGATCTCTTCATCGTTGCTTTGCTTAGTTGATGCGATATAATCTGTACACAGTTCTGTCAAATGCTCTCCAATCACAAAAGGAGGAGCTCCTGCAGAACAAGATAACGGACAGTTCAGATTTTGTTGTGACCATAACGCAAGTAGCTTCTAATATTGCATTTTATTGTCATAAGTATGTTGAGTGACTACAAAATTTAAGAAGCACAAGAATAGACTGGTTTTCTTTAAAAGGTTGTGCCAGATTGGATCTACAAGATGTTGGGCCCTGGTGGAGATATTAGTCTCCTAATTTGCATCCACCAACTGCCTCAGCTAAGTGGAGCAGATCATGGTCAGATGCCAAAGTATAATATTTCTTATCTGTTTGAGTATAAATGTGTAAATTTGAAATTTTTTGATTGAATAACGTAACAAATTTAGTATGCTGGTTTTGTTAATTCAGTATGTTCTTGTGCATGCATATTGTTATGCTTGGATTGGATGAACCATGTGATGACCATATAGCCTCAGGGTATATGAAAGAATTGTGCGCAAATTAAGCGTTTATGTTTTTTATTCATCAATTTTCAGTTTACTAGTTCTGTAGAAGAATTTAATATAAGAAATGCCTAATCAAATTCAGGTAATCAAACGCTGTTTTTTATTTCCTTTTCTTCATTGAGCAGACTGTTTGAAATAATTGCAGTATATTTTTCTGCAGGAGGAATTGTTTCTACAAGTCAATTTTTCTGCTTGTGCAAATTTTCGCTCTCCAGGTGAAAAGAGGCTACTGTCTCCCAGATATTTGGTTTTAAATTTTAACATTGTTACTTTGAGGTCAAAAAATTAACATAGTCATTAGGATAGTTTTCCTTTTGAATATATGTGGCCAATGTCCTGACCCTCTCTGAGGATTTTGTAGTGCATATTAAGAAAGTGTGTCAGATTTGGAATCCATTCAATCAAGGATATCCATTAAATCGTTGCATTCTTGGATTACTTTCTGCCAAGTGTCACAGCTTCCAGTAGGAAAGAGGATATGAGGAGTGCTAGAGAATCTGAAGCACAGGCAATAACGCTCAACTGCTGTAATTTTTGTTGGCTTAAAGAAATGGCTATATCTATATGCCACCATTGGCGCAGGGTTTCATCTGTGACTTCTTTAATAACACTAGTAGAGGCAGACTCTTCGGCATTAGGTAATGGGAAAACATAATTTCAGAGGCCATTAGGGCACGTGTCCGTGATGTCAGTTTCAGGTTTTTGATTGAGTTAAGCTACCAATTCTTTATTAATTGAGGCCCTTCGATTGAAATGCAGAGTGACACTAACACAGGGTGTAAACGCTGGTTCTTGGAATGTTGATTTTCTCTGAGCTGAGATGTGTGTATTTGCTTGGTCCTTCTGCTCCATGCTGATCAGCTGAAATATCCTTTTACAGTGTTTCCTGGCTGTCCCCTCCCCAGGGAATTAACTCCAAGCAATGTTTTCAGAACCATACCGGACATTGAATCGGAAAAGTCAACGGTTCACGGTTCGCATGGTCCAACTGGTGACGTAATAATTAAATTTAAAAAAATTATATATGTATATAATAATTTAAATATAAGAAATACATATAAAATTGTTATTTAACTTAAAAAAATTAAATATTTTAAGTTTATCATGACTTAACAGGCCATATGATACAATATAATATCAAATGATTAAAAAAATTAGTCATTTTTTTTTAAAAATTTTGATAAAAAATAAAAAAAATGTTTTTTTTGAATAGTCTGGTTTTTGAAAACCGGATCTGGTTCCTGGTCCGACCGCCGGTTCGAAACGGCTCAAACCGGCTCAACTCTTAAAACGGTTTTTTCCTTTGAACCAGACCGAAAACCAAACCAGTCGACGATCCGGTCCAGTTTTCAAAACAGTGACCCCAAGAAAGGATCATTTCCTAAGGATCTCAGAATCCTTTTTTTCTATTGGGCTCGGCCCATTTCTTTTCTGGTGCGAAAAAATATATTTAATAAATTCGGTGAAGGTTATATTAATTATTTAATTGAAACATGTTTAGTCTTATCATGACTAATATTATCTTGAGAATGGTTATCTTTGATGATGAAATAATTTTATTCTGTTATGAAAATTGAAGAAAAATATGAACTCAGTGGAAGTATATAAGAGAGATGTAAAGAGAAAATTGTGAGGAAATTCTCATTCATTTTGAAGTGTATAAAATGTGTGGTCCATAAGGTTTCCAAACAACTTAAGAACAACAATATAGATAAGCTTGTTAAATCTATGATTGCATAATATATAACCCTTGTTATATATATTTATTAATCATGGAAAATCTCAGAGAAGCAATTGATTTTGGAGGCTATAAAATTTTATGAATATAATTCTAAAATTCATTCTTTTAATTGTCATCGACATTCACATTATGATGATAATATTCGTAACACTTCTCTAAGGATGTTCATAAAAAATATTGTATCTCATTGAACTAAGCAAGATAATGATGCATTTGTCAATGATTAAATTATAGTCAAATCAGTTATAATTAATTTAATATGTTTTTAATTTTATATATTAAAAATAACATTATAAAGTTAAGTATTATTTTATTACTATATAAAAATTAGAAAATAAACCCCTCCTTTTTCTCATTGGTCGTCTTTGTTCTATCCTGTCAACGGTAGCAAATTTAGCGAAACAGACTGGTTACCTTATTGAGCTTCACACTTTGAGCTCTAGCATCTACCTAATTATTAAGGCGTAAAAAAGAATAAAATGAATTAAAAAATAAAAATAAATATTAAATAAGTTAAAATATTTGGATTATTTTATTTTTATTTCTATAATCCATTCCGTTTTCATTTTTTTCTTGTAACTAAAATATGGTTTTGTAGTATCATTCCTATCTTCAATTTTGGTAGTTTCGAAGTGATTAGGTTAGGTGTGCCTCAAGAGACCGAACCACAATGTAATCACGCTTTCTAAATCTAGAATACCTATCCCAATGCCATTTTATCAGCTCAGATATTAAATAACTGATGTATCAAAACTCAAGCACTAAAACTTTGTAACATCATCCATGCCATGAATCTTCCATGCGTCCTTCATTCCAGCAAAGTTATGAAAAACAACTATTAAAAAACGCTAATTTTTTGCCAAAATGAAAGGGAAATGTGAACTCTTATTTTTTAATTATTCCTAAAACATGGCACTGTTATTTGTTGCCTTGCCCTGTTAAAATGACTCATACCCATAAAATATATTTTCCTCACTTTGCTTTCTCCGTTTCACTTATCCCACCTTCCTAGATCTTTCTGCATAGCCGTTGAAATTAAGGAAGCTTTGTGGATTTTATCAACTTGTTTTCTTTAATCTTTTTCAGACATAGACATACAGTATTCTATCGCCATGATTATTAAATTTACAATCATTGAAGATATCACACAATATAATAGAATATCTTTAAATTAAATATTGAATTTGTAATAGCTAGTCATTGACATATATATATATACACACATAATTCCTTGATCTGTTGACATTAATGATTGTCAATATGAATTAATAAAATTAATAATGCTTTTCTACAAAAATTAGAAATGCATACATGTCACTTTGGTAAACTATATCCGCAAGAACTTCAACAAATAAACTGCACTTGAACCCTTCCTTGTTTAATTTGCAGTTCTGTGATTCTTGCTTTATTCTACGCTCTCATGGCACAGCGAACGACATGCTCTTCTATTTCTTACAAATGGGTTTATCATGTGTTCCTCAGTTTTCACGGTGAAGATAGTCGCTTAGGTTTCATCAGCTATCTCTGTGAAGCTCTGCGTCAAAGAAGAATTCATGCCTTTATTGATGATGAACGCATCAGGACAGGAGAAGAAATCACACCTGCACTTTTGAAAGCCATACAAGAATCAAGAATAGCCATCGTGGTTTTTTCTGAAAACTATGCAAACTCAACGTTTTGTTTGGACGAACTTGTGAAGAGTATGGAGTGCTTCAAGGAAGAAGGTCGGTTGATATATCCAATATTTTACTATGTGGATCCATCGGAGCTTCGACGTCCGAGAGGAAGCTATGCAGAGGCATTGCCGAGACTGGAGGAAAGATTCAAAGACAATAAGAAAAAGGTGCAAAAATGGAGGCTGGCTTTGTCTCAAGCTGCTGAGCTTAAAGGCTATCATCTCAAACCAAAGTATATCCTCTTACCTTCTCGCCCCCACCCCCCCCCCCCTTTTTGTTATAGTTAAATAGAATTTTTGGCCCAGTCTCTTATATGCTTCTCGTAATGCATCAACCTTCCAATTGTCTTTTTTTTTTCCTTTCTTTTTTCTTCTGATCGTTAGCTTGTCTGCATAAAAAAAATGCATTATTTGTATTTTTTTAACGTTTTTTCAAAAAAATATATCCACATAATCATTTAAATTTTTTTTTAATATCCTACCTAACCCTTCCTCATAAGAAAGGGGATCTCACACAAATGCATTTTACACACTCACACACCACACAACAATGAACAATCCCACACAATCGCACAAGATTTTGGTCCTCCTTTAGCCACGCATGAGGTTTAATCTTTTAATCTCTTATATTTATCATTTATATAATCAACTTAATATTTTTCTAATAATTAGGACTCAATTTAAAATTTTCCTACAACACACTTTCATATTTAATAATTATTATGAGGAATGAAACTACTATTATTTCTTATTGGGAAGCATAGAGAATGCGACGGAGTTTTTATTTCTAACTTGACGTATCATAATATTTTAGTTTGACTAAAAGTGAACTTGTTACATATTGGTCAGGATTGCAAAAGAACAAGAGTGTATTACAAGGATCATCAGTGAAGTTGCTGTTAGGATTAATTAGGAGCCTTTACATGTTACAAATTATCCAGTTAGACTTGTATCTCGAGTGAAGGAAGTAATTTCTTGTTTAGATCTTTGGTCCACTAAGGAAATCAAGATGATAGGAATTTGGGGACCTGGTGGAATAGGTAAATCAACTATTGCAAGAGCTGTATATAATTCCATTGCTGATAATTTTGATAGTGTATGTTATCTTTCTAATGTGAGAAAACAAGCTAAAATGGCAAATGATTTGTCACATCTTCAAGAGACTTTATTGCATAAATTAGTCATGGAGAAAGATCTCAAATTGGGTGATTTTCATGAGGGAATACCAATCATAGAACACAGACTTAGTAAAAAGAAGATTCTTTTGATTCTTGATGATGTTGACAAGTCAAACCAGTTAGAAGCACTTGTAGGAAGTTGTAATTGGTTTGGTTGTGGAAGTAGAATCATCACCACCACAAGGAATAAGCAATTGTTAGTAAGTCATGGTATTAATAGCATTTACAATATCAAGGAATTAAATGATAAGGAATCTCTTAAGTTGCTTAGCTGGTAGCCTTTAAAAAAGAAAATCTGGATTCTAACTACATGAAGGTTGGCAATCGTGCAATACACTATTCGTGTGGCTTTCCATTAGCTTTAGAAGTGATTGGTTCAACCTTGCATGGTAAAGGAGTAAGTCATTGGATTTCTGCATTAAATCAATTCAAAACAATACCACATGAAAGAGTATTAGAAGCCCTCAAATTAAGCTATGATACATTAGGAGATGTGGAGAAAAAAGTTTTCCTTGACTTGGCTTGCTTCTTCAATGGTGAGAAATTTGGAGATATCAATGATATGTTGCAATGTTTTCATGGAATCCAACTAGAATATGATATTGAAGTGTTAATTGATAAATCTCTTGTAAAGATTGAAGGAGATCGAGTGATGATGCATGACTTCATAGAAGATGTAGGTAAAGAGATTGTTTGACAAGAATTGTCATATGAACCTGGTGAACGTAGCAGGTTATGGTTCTATCAAGATATTCTTCATGCCTTACAACAAAATATAGTAAGATCACCAACATGCATATTTATTTTCATTAACAGTTGCCTTATGATTTTTACAAATCTAAATTTTGAAATTTATTGTGCACTTTTCATTTTCAAAGGGAACTAAGAAGGTTGAAGCCATAATTCTAGACTTACCAGAAGGTATGGAAGTACAATGGAATGGAGAGGCATTTATGAAGATGAAGAATCTCAAAATTCTTGTGATAAGAAAAGCATGCTTTTTTGAATGTCCTAAATATTTGCCAAATAGTTTAAGATGGTTAGAATGGATAGGGTATCCTTTCAATTTTTTCCATATCACGTGCACCCATTAGAACTAGTTTACCTAGACTTGTCCTTTAGTTATTGTGAATTGCTTCAACCTTTTGATAAGGTGAGTATCTAAGAACCATTAGTACCTTTTCTTTTGTTTCTTTGTCTTACTCTAAAAGATAAAATGATATTTGTTTTGCAGAAGTTTCGCAATTTAAATTGCATGAATTTCAAAAATTACAAATTTTTACAGCAAATACCAAGCTTATCTGGAGTTTCTAATTTAAGAGAATTGTGGCTTGATGGTTGCATAAATTTAATTGAAATTCATGAGTCAGTTGGATGTTTAAATAAATTGAGAGAATTGAGTGCCATGCGGTGTAGAAACTTGAAGGTTTTACCAGCTGGTCTTAGTTTGACATCTCTCCAACATCTCAACCTCTTTGGTTGCTCAAGTCTTCAGAGTTTTCCAGAAATATTAGTCATGATGGAAGAAATGCAAACACTTGATTTAGACAAGACATCAATCACTGAATTGCCATCTTCAATTTGCAATCTCACCAAACTTGAAATCTTGAGCATAGACGAGTGTCCTAATCTTGAGCAGTTACCAGCTAACATTTGTACATTACCAAACCTTTGGAAGCTAACTGCGAATTTTTGCAAAGGAATAAGGCATTTGAAGATGCGTGAAGGTGGAGAAGATCAAGCAAGCTTAGATTGCTCGACATTATCTTTGAAATTAGAACATTTTTATTTCTCAAATTGCAATTTATCAGATAACTCTCTTGCTCTCGGTCTTTCTCACTTTCCAAATATGATACATTTAGATCTAAGCTTTAATAGTCTCACAATTCTTCCGGAATGCATCAAAGAATATCACAACTTGAAATATCTTTTGTTGGATAATTGCAATCAACTGCAACATATTTTGGGAATGCCACTAAACTTGGAAAAATTCAGTGCCATATGTTGCACATTGTTGACTGAGTTGTCCAAAAGTAAAGTATTGAAGAAGGTATATGTCTCTCTTCCCTAACCTTCTCTCTATAATTATATTCTTTTAATACTTGTATGTTACCTAACATTTTTTTTGGCACAATATGAAATTTGCAGGCTGTCACACCCCAAAATAGAGGGTGACCGGCACAGGTGTGAACCACTCTCACATTCCCGTAAACCTCTAAGTGAATATTTATTCCATTTTTCAAGAAAGACAAAATTCAATCAAATCATATGAGAATTTAAAATAACTTCTTTAAATTCATTATCATAAGAAAGTGTCAACATTTTTGTAGGAATTTCGGCAGAACCTCCCCTGTAACTAGGATCTCCCGATAATTTACAACAAATTTTTTTACAAATAACAGTATAATTCAGGAGCGTAGCTTCTTCCAGCCAACAATCAATATACAAACCAAAAATAAAGTTCATCAACAACCTATGTGGAGCATCTACTCTTTCTTTCAAATCAAAAGGACATACATATTATATATTTACATTAAAGCATAGCTAACAAATATGAGGCCAAAATAATTTTTTCAGTGAATAGCATTCCCATGATAAAATTTTTTAAAATTTAAATTGACAATCTCTAATAATGGTGTCAAGAAATTGAAAGTAATTCCACCAAAATTTATAAGCATGTAAGTCATAATCATATTTGTAAAATAAGAATAAATCGAAAACAATCTATGTTATCATGCTAAAAGAAGTCAATCTGCTCTCACATAACTCAAAATGATATCAATTACTAGTCAAAATCAAGTAAATTTTGAAAACACATATTAATTAACGTTTAAATTTCTGAGAACTCAACAGAACAGGTTACAAATGTGAACACACAGTTCACAAGGGTAAATAACCAAACGTGGCTTCTTACCATGAAAACAAACATGGACACATCAATCCACGAGGGTAAGTAATCGAACGCAGCCGTAGCTATGAAACAAACGTGGACACACAGTCCACGAGGGCAAGTAACCAAATGTGGCTCAGGCTACGGAATCAAATACGGGTACGAAGCCCACGAATACCAAACGTGAGAATAAAATTCACGAAACAAACTAGCTAGTATTTAACCACAGCGCTACGGGCTAACAGAACTGCCGTTAGCAGCAGTGTTCTATTTGGAGTCCTTTCAAAAATAGTGTTTCGAACATGTGAGGAAATAATTACTTCTGAAATATAATCAGCATTTCCAATGCCAAACTCGCATGTATCACTTTAAAATTTAATTTTAAAACCTATTGAAAATAGTCTTTCATAAAATAATATACGAGCTTGCATTATCTAAATAACCAAGGATTTCAAGAGTTTAATAAACCAAATAATTCCATAAATCTTTAAAACATATTCCCTGAGGAAATAATGCATATATCCTCCTTTAAATGTCTCGCATCAATATCTCAAAGTTTCAAAACTAATGTAATTCACAAGAATAAAATATCTCAATAAAAAATTTGTTAAAAATAAAAGTACCAATAAAATTAAATTAAAGGGAATGCTATTCACTTACCTGTTGAAGTTCTAGATTTCCGAAAGTATTCTTCTTTTAAGTCTTATCCGGGTCTTGTTCTTCCACACACCCTAAAATATAAATATATACAATTTTAATAACTTTTTAATTTAAAATATTCCACAAATTCACCAATAACCAAACAAGTTCCAAGTGCTCCAATAGCAACGTGAAATCTCATAATCAAATTCCTTTACAGATCAACCGGTTAATTTCTAATTTAATAATTTCTATAAATATTCCGAAGTCAAGTTCAACTTCCTCTTACAAATCTTTCAACAAGCATCTTACAAGCACTAATATTCAAGTTGTATATTTAAGCTATTCTCTTCCAACTTCACCTCAATAACTTCTTTGCATAAGCCATTTCAAATAGAATTAATTTAACTCCAAAAATTATGACCTACATATATTTCACTACTAAGCCTTAAGTTAAATTTTCAGCTCAAATTTAAACCTTCTTCTTGCAACATATGGATAGCAACAAAATTCTTTCAAGGAACTCTATAATTTCAGCCATAAATATATCATTGTTAAGCTTTAAGATCAATTTCCAACTCAATATTGAGTTATCCCTTCCCTAAAACAGTATGGCAACAACAGAATAGCCCCATTTTTTGAATTTTTTTTTCGCACACACAGAGTAATGGCAGCCTCACGCACAGCAACAGCAACAAAGATTTATAATTATCTTAATACCATTTCAGCCATTCACACGCACGGACACAAGGAGAAAAAATGATTTTGAACAGTGAAGAAGAACTGCCACCATGAATGAAGAAGAATAAGCTTACCAATAAAAAAAATGAACCCAAAAGGAAGAGATTTTTGCTCACCCAGATCTTTTATACCCACGTGAACCAGAAGCTAAGAGAAAGAAAGACTTTTCATAATTGAATCAGCAGTAGAGGCGGACGAACAGCAGTAACTCGAGAAGAAAATCACAGCTGAGGCGAACGAATAAGCACAGCGTCGACGACGACTACACGAACAACGGTGCTGGCTTCGATGGAGGAGGAAGAAGGTCGAGTCGGTTGAAGGGCAGTGCAAAATCTCGGCGCTCCTCGAATCTCTCTCTCTCTCTACTCCAGACTCATCGAGAGAGAAGAAAGAAAGAGTTAAAAAAAATTTGATGAACTAATGGCAATTTGGTAATTTTGCATGACCAGAAAAAGAAAAATTTTCAACTCTTCTTTTGTACTCTTCCGAATTTGAACTAGGGACCTGATATATGAAGACTTGCTCAACTACCACTAGACCAAGTTTCTAACTTGTTATATTTATCCCAAGAATTAATATAAACACACTTTAAAAAAATTACCTATATATATTTATTTATTTTAAATTTTTTTGTTGGGGTTATTACACAGGCACTCAACTTTCAACCTGGGAAAAGAAACTTTATTTTTCCAGGAAAAAAATTCCCAGAAAGGCTCCACAATTGTAGTCGAGGAAATTTTGTGTCATTTTGGGTCCGTAACATATTCCCGGTCATTTTCCTTTGGATTCTTGTTAAAGATGACCAAGATTATGTCTACAATTGTAAATTCTCTGTGCACATCAATGACACCATGCTTGATTTTTCTTCCAAGTGGCTTTTACTATCAACAGTAAAGACTGATCACATATATGTATGTGATATGCAAAGCATAATTCCCAATACTGAACTCCCCCATGTAAATAAGTGGAATCAAGTGAAGGTCTCCATTGAGGGCAAAACACAGGAAAGTATGACAGGTGAAAAAGATATTTATTTTGGAGTTCATGTATACGATCTACAAAGTAACTTAGAAAATATTCAATTCATGGACCCTAGAAGATACACTGATCACAACTTATGGCAAAAAATACAAGAACAACCACAAGCAGAAGAACTCGAGGAAGAAATGAGTTGGGATTATTCAAACTCAACGAAATCTGCAGAGCCAATTCAGAACAACCTGGATAATCAAGGTATTTTTTCCCCTTCAGTTTTGTTTCTTTTTGTGTTATATCATTGGTGCTCTTTCCTATGTGAAAAGATACGTACCCTGATAATGTAGAACCACTACAAGATAAGGAAAAGATTGAAGATGATACCCATCAAGATTCAAATTCAATGAAATCCATAGAGTTACCGGAGAATGTCTTGAGCTATGATGGTAGGCTTTTGTCCTTCTTCTTTCATCATCATGTGTTATCATTGATATTCTTTATCCTATCATGCATGCTTTATTGCGAGTGTGGCTGTTTTTGAATTTTATGCAAAGTGCACTTTGGCTTTATATATGTGTGTGTGCATGCTTGCATGTATATGTGTATGTATTTTGGCTATATATATTTATTTTCTTGGTTTAAGTCCCTTGGAGTCTGATGCGCGATTAGCCTATTTGCTTGATGTTCATCAAGATTTGTACAAAAAAAAAAAAAAAAAAAGAAGCAAAGTTGATGTTCAAGTCAGACAATACTATGAAAATCGTCCCAAGAATTCTAGCCCAGCTCCTTTGGCAACTGCCAATGAGAATCTCACTGGAATTTTTTTCTTGTCCTTGAAGCCTTTATTTTCCTACTCTTTACTTTATGCATGCCTTAGTTTTTGGACCTTAATTGGTTGTTTTCATTTTACAATTCATATAACCATGGATGATACAATTGGTCTAAAAAAAAAAATTAAGTTGTCTAATACAATTCGTTCACTGACTGACTAAAAATGCATGCTCCATTAGTTACATGAATTATATATATATATATATATATATCAAATATTTTGGTCATCAATACGTATAAACTTCTATTTCAATTATAACATTATGATCAGAGCCTTGTTATTTCTATTTGGCGATGGTGAAATATGTAATTGAACAAAATTGGCAGTAATGGTATTTGCTTGTTTTGCAGGAGGAAGGATATTCGTGAGTTTTGAAGGCAAAGATACCCTTAGTTTCATGAAGTCTCTATATAGTGCTTTGGATTCTAATGGGATTGAGGCATTCAAAGATGGGGACAGGATTGGAAGGGGTGATGGCATATGCCAAACTTCACTCAAAGAAATTGAAGAGTCTAAGATTTCCTTCATTATATTCTCAGAAAACTATGCATCATCCATACAGTGTCTTGCAGAACTTGTGATGAGCCTTTATTGTAAGAGAGCACAGGGCACTTGGGTAGTTCCAGTTTTCTACAAAGTAGACCCTTCAATCGTAAAACATCAAGGAGGAAGTTTTGGAAGAGCAATGGCTAAGCATGAAGCCAAATTCTGTAATGACATGGAAATGATACGGATGTGGAAGTTGGCTTTGCCTGAAGCAGCCAACATCGCTGGTTTAGTGATAAATGATGGGTATGTGATCATATGTCTATGCTTCTTTCTTAGCTGCCTTTATGTTTTTGTTTTAAAGAATATTATATTCAAATTATGACTTGTTTACTTAATAGTTACTCTGTCGAATACTTGTAATTGAGTTGCAGGAATGAAAGTGATGTGATCCAGTGCATTGTTAAACTCTGTCGCATGTTGCCAAGTCGCATCCCTTCTAAAGCACAAACTTGACCACTGGCTAGTTGGGCCAAAAAAGAGCAGTCAAAGGAGAAATTAAATACTGGTTTTGTTGTTGGAAAAAAAGAAAAAATAGAATGAAATGATCAAGAACCTCTTCATAGCACTTCACATTCCTTTAAAAGAGAGAGGTTATGGACTTTATAAGGGGTGGGTGTGATATTATGTGAGCATGTGAATGTGGTGTCTACAATAATAAAATTAAATTTAAGGACTACCGTCTTTCCATGAAAATAAAAAAAAAAAATTTGACTAAAATGATCCTATGACTAATGTAAGGAGACTTTCTAAATTAGTTAGAGTTATTTTCTAAGTCCTAAAAAATTGTCAACCCAATTTCAAATTTTCAACATTCTCCATAGTTGTGACATGAGAAGTATATATTCTCCTCCTCTCCTCCTTTCTAATTCTTTATTTTGATCTTTTTAAGTTATTTAGAAAATCTATTGAAAAGAAAACAGAAATTTCCCAAATCATCTATTAATGGATGGAACTTGATAAAGTTATCCCATCCCTTGGTTCCAGAAAGTAAAATGGCAAGAACTTTGATATGATTGCCAAGATCTTGGCCGATAAATTGCGTGGAAACAGGATAGAAGTATGAATTTGTAATCAATATGAATATCAGTAAAGATGTGGAAGTTGTGGTATGTAACACCCTCAAATTTACAAACCGATTTTTCGCAAATTATTAATTCAACAAATCATTTTTTTTTCATTGAACCCTTATCATACCCTTATCATGGTAGAAAAATTTCTACCATGATACATCCAAGACAATATACCACAGGTCTTAAAATATCTCAAAAAGCAATTAGAACCATGAGGGACAGACATGATCCTCATAGCATGTTATTTAAATTAGGTCATGAATCAAAAGGGACAGACATAATCCTCTTGGACATATAAATGCATTTAATAAAAAGGATTAGAGTTTACATGCTCCATAGACAAGATATGTCCTAAGTTGGCACAAGATACATTGTATAATCCAAAATAAGAGGCAACGTAAAAGATGGTGTCTCATACACCATAATTACACCTCTGGTGCTTTCTCGGCCGGATTCGCTCCTGTAAAAATATTAACCACGGGGAATGAGACTTAAAAGTCCCAGTAACCAAAAATTAATATGTAATGATGCATGCGGATGTAACTAATCATGCGATTGCTAAGTGGGCACACAAAACATTTAACCAAACAATATTTTCAAACAAACCGAACAAGTATTTAATTGCATGACTGCACCTTATCTCCTCCTTTCACCATGCTCGGACGCCAAATCACCCGGCCAAAGGTGAGTTGGACCAAGCGACACGCCACTCATTGGGTCCAATGAGGGCTTACCACGTGGTAATAATTAACCGAACAGAAATTCCCATTAACACCATACATTAAAATACCCTGACAAGTCATGCATCATTCAAATATCCAAACAGGAATATATCCGAACAATAATATCTCATCATGATAAATAAAAAATAAATTTTTAACCCACTTGGCAATAATTTCAAACAAGTATATACAGTATTTATTTTCAATAATTCATAATTTTTCCAAACAACAAAACAACACATAACCATTCACAAACACACTCATCACAACACATTAATAATGGTTACCTTGTGTCTTGAATAACAAGTTCCCCTTCACAACTCCTTTTTCACCACTATCTTTGTCAATATAATCTACATAATTATTTCACAATACTATATATTAATTTTACATTAAAATAAATAACTCTAATTTAAAGAGTTAGAAAGTCTTAAATCTATAATCCATATTAATACTAATTTAAGATTTATGCCTCATTTAACTTTTTAAATTCTTTTCTAAAATTCTCGTACCCTAATAAACTATTTTTTTTATCCTCAAATCACTTCTAGTATCACAATTTCATCATTCTATATTCTAAAAATTCGTTCAAAAATAAATTAAAAATTTTAGAATTATCCTGAAACCTCAAATCACCTTTCTATAACCTCAAAAATACCTATTCATACTTAAATAAATATTTAATAATCAGAGATTTATCCCTACATCTCAGATTCCACATAAATTCAACCATATAGATCTAGATTTTAACTCAAAAATTCTTAAACATGAGTTTCAACCTCAAGAAAATATTCTATAATATTTATTATATCCCTAAGAGTTTTAACCTATATTTTAATCTATCATATCATCAGATTAACTATCCTATAAAAAAATCCTAATCAAAATATTTACTCTATCCTACAAAATAATTATATCACTAGAAAGCTAATATTATTTAGAAAATAACTATAAAATTAATTTTGTAATTAAATAAATTTTTAAATGCTAATCTAAACAGGAAAGTTAGAACATACCTGAAGAAAAAGAAAATAATCCTCCCTTGCGAGAAAACGCCGAGCAACGTGAGAGGAAGAGAGAAAAATAATATAAAAATGGGATTGTGAGTCCCAAAATTATATTAAAAAAAAAACTATAGGTTTGAATTTAATTATTCAAACCTTTGGGCCAAAAGTTGCAATTTTCTCTAAATTGCATCTTAGCCTCTCATGCTTCCTAATGCACACACCCCCTCCTTTTTATACATGAAGGCACCTCTTCTCTTCCCTCATCTAACCAATGTGGGACTTAGAAACAACAACCTTCTACCCCCCTTTTTTTGTTCCTTCTACCTTCTCTTTTTTTTTAAACACACACATAAAAAAAATTATTTATATATTATATCTTATCTAAATATTGCTTATGTTGTTTTAAATTTAAATTTTTAAATTCATAATTAAATACCTAACCATAATATTATTTCTAAATAACCTCAAATAATATAAATTCATATTATTATCATTTTTTTTTCTCAAAACCTAAATTCCACAATTTCTTTATTATATAAAAAATCAGGATGTTACATGGTAGAGTCAGGGCATTTGAAAAGTGGACAAAAGAAGTGAGGGATAGGAAAACAAATAAGAATGAAAAAGAAACATGTGTGTCTGTGTGAGAGAGAAGGATATATATGGTGGTTCTATACAAGTCTAAACTAAAATACAAAAAATCAAAAATAATACATAGCTAGTATAACAAAGGGAAAATTAGAGCGAAGGACCAGGTGAGAATAATATTTAATTTATTAAAAAGAACCTTAAAAATTCTAATTATTAAGAAGGATCAACTACCAAAATGTAAATTTAAAAATATTAAATTGTCCCTGTCAAATCTCCCACATTATCTCACTCTACATCTTAGCTTTCTTACATAGATTACTAGCAAATGAGTATTAATTAGTTGAAGTTCCGGCATTTCCCCTCAGTACTAGCGGCATTAATTGTTTTCATCAAATAATGGGTTGTTCTTGTTCAGGTTCTTGTAGGAAGTAACTTGTAGTTTTCTTTTAAACTTGGATCCTTCAAGTTAGATGTTGATCCATACCCATTATTGGTTGCAGAGATAATGACAAACTACGTAAACAAAAGCATAAAATGCAAGCAATTGATTGATAATATTGCTTGATAAAATTCAAGCAATACAAGTCCGGTCTACGTACACCAATAAATACAGGGGACCAATTGGGTATTGAAATCACAGCAGACAAACAAGTACCAATGGGTTTTGTTTGTGTGTGTGTATAAAAGGAGCACAACAACTAAAAACAATATTGCTATTTTTTTATTACTACTATCATTTCTTTTCTTTTCTTTTCTTTTTTTCAAATAGTTGAAAAGTTTAAGTCAGTTAGGTCTCAGGAGCTCACTAAAACTAGACATGTCTCAAGTCTCAAAGAATGCTTACAATGGTATATATAGATCACCTACTAATAAGGTCATCATATTGATAGTAGGATTTGAATTTATGACCTTGTAGGTCATAAGCCAAATTCTTACTAACTAGACCAACTTTTGATTGGTATTACTACTATCATTCTTGCCATGATTTTCATATTGGATAGAATTCATTTTAAAACTTTCACTTGACAAAATTAGAATTGGGGATCAAATTTTCACTAGAAAACTTATTTTCCTCCCAGGTAAGTCAATATTGGTATCTACTTAAAAAGTATATATCATATACTATAGGGTTAATATGCAATTTTGACTATAAACTATAGCTCGAGACCACAAAAATAAGCACAAGTATGAGGCCTGCGAAAAACAAGTGTGAGTACAATGCTTATGAATATTTATTCCTCCAATCCACGTGCATTAGCCATTGCAACAAGCTAGCACCTTCGAGGCATCCTACTAGCTAGGTGTACTATGGCACGCCAAGCGCTAACAGAACTGTCATTAACATCCAACGTTTTGACTTAATCCAAGATAGCACTATGTTCATTTATGCTCCAAGTGCACTTGAGTTAATTAATGTAATATCCTCACTAATAATCACCATTAACCAATCAAACCTATGTAATCAAAGGATTAACCCATTTAGGTGATTACCAAGTTTTAGTTACAAATCAAGGGATCCCAAGTTTTCTTAAGTTAAAAATGTGTTCAAATCATTCATTGATTCTTCAATCAAAGTAAAAATAAGTTATGGAAGCATGGGATCCCTTAGAGGAGTGGAAGAAGTTGAAAACAATTAAAAAATAAATTGTTTGTTGCAAAACAGGACAATGCGCCATGGCTTGTACACACTGCGCTATGGCATCTTACTCTCTATACCAAGCACTATGGCTCAAGTGCCAATGCACCGAGGCATGTTTCACATTTTCTTGATAGCAAAATCTGTTGTCATTTGACAGTAAAATTGGGTAACTTCTGGCGTGCCCTAAATCTCTGTCCAATATGCGAATGATATGATCTAGGAGTCTACAAAAAAGCTCTTTTTATAAACTCGCTAATGGCATGCGTTTCACTTTCAAAATAAGTCACACCAGGAAGATGGACACCCAAATACATTTTTACCACTTTTCACAACTTTCACATATAAAAAGGTGTCCAAAACTCATAGTAAGTGCCAAAAGCTATTTTTAACACCTAGACCATATCCATTAAACCTAAAACTATCAGTATAACACATCACATGAATTCAAATACCTGTAGAGCACAAAATCACTCCCTAACCACTTAATACCAAAAACAGAAGGGGGAGGTAAAAAATCATTGCATTGTATCAAAAATTGATCATATCATTTTCATAACAACATTTCTACACTAGCACTAGTATTTTGTCCCTATCAAAATATATAACTCTACATACATAAATACTTAGGATCTAAAATACAACAAAATCTTTACAATAACTAAATAGTGCAAGTGTAACTATATGCAATCTAGAATTGACAATAACATTCTATTACACAAAATAATGAATTCAAGAGGCATACAAAAGGAATGTACAAATTCCTAAGCCTTAGGAGCTTTATCCCTCTCAGCACTAGAGCTAGAGCCTGAAAATATTAAATGAAAGTGGTGAGTCTAACCACTCAATAACCAAGGTAAAACCTACCCTTTAAAGTTATATATCAATTGTAATTAAATACATGCATATAAAACCAAGTTCTTAAAATATGATTGCACACATTTCGTAACTTATCATTATTCATCTAGCTCATTTTTATCTTTTCACATCAGGGTACATTGTCATAAAACACTCAAACATGTGACTGTGACCTGATATATTAACATGACTTGCCACAACTCAAATATCACTAGTACAGAATTTGTCATTTATAGGGGACTTTTGACATCAGTTAAAGAGCACCTACTGTTAAAAGTAGAGCGGTGGCATTTCTGTAATATTTAAAGACAATGTAGAACTTTTAACATTAGGCAAAAAGTCACCTACTGTTAAAAGTTACTTTCAATAGTGGGTCCTCTGTCATCTACTGTTTAAAATAGAAAATTAAAAAAAATGAAACACACAAAGTTTCAACAGCGGTTGCCAGTTACTCGTTGAAAGTTACACTTTCAACAGAGGGTGATGGAACCCGTTGTTGAAAGTTATGTCAATTTAAAAAAATAAAACATATAACTTTTAATAGTGGGTGACACCACCTACTATTAACAATTAAACTTTTGACAGTGGGTGACAACCCGTTATTGTTAGAAAGAAGAAATAAAAAAATTTATGTTTTAATAGTGGGTGACATGGCACCCACTGTTAAAAATTAAGTTTCAATAGTGGGTGACACGTCACCAATTGACAAAACTAATTTAAACTCACATAAAAAAAAGCACCCCACCCCCTTCACTTTCATCTCTTTCATCCGTCCTCCCTCAATCATCTTCTTCCTCCTCCTCTTCAATCTTATGCTACCACCCCCCTTCCCTGCCACTCCCCAATCATGCCACCACCCCTTCCCATTTCCAATCTCTCCCCACCCCCTTTCGGCCCCTCACTGCCTTTGCGCCCCATCCCCCCTACCGCCTTCATCCTGTAAGAACCCTAAATTTTTAATGGAATAATTTTTTCTCTCACAATGGATGTATTTTTTAAATAAAGTTTATAATAAGTAGAAATGGGTAGTTTATAGGAATTTATGCTAGAATTTTTTTTCAAGAATTTAGAGTCCAAAATTTTCTAGCAAAGGTCTGGTTTTAAATGATAGAAAAATTTTGTGCTCTTTTTGCTAAATTTTATGTGCCCTTTGTTGTGATTTTTTTGTGTGCTCCTTCTTATAATTTTCCTAAAATATTCTTGAATCTGATTCACTTGTTCTCTTGAATTAAAAAAAACAAGAAGAAGAAATTAAAAGAGATATCAAGAAACTTTTGCTTCATTTGAGAGAGATTGGTCCAGAGGAGAGAGATGGCTGATTTTTCTTTCCTTCTTTCATGATTCCTCTACGTCTCTACTTTCTTTTCTTCCGTCTTCAACCACTGCCAATGATTATGGTTGTTTTTGCTTTAACCATCCGCCATTGACAGGTGCTGGAGCTCGCAGATTCATTGCTGTACGTCTGAGAAGATTCGAAGGCTCTGGATCAAGGAGAATCAGGATAGAGCTTTAAACATAGTTGTGTCTCTTCTGATCTCCTTCCTGTGCTGTTCTTTTTGTCTGTCACTAATGAGCTTGAGCATGTTGCAGATTTTTTTCTTCCTTTTCCTCTATTCTACATCATTGATTGCTTAACACTGTAGGCCGTCGTTCAGCTCATCCATCTGCTGTTCATTCACATTGGTGGCCGTTTTTCTTCCTCCGTTAATATCGTGCTATGGGTTCTTCAATTTCAGATTGGGGAGTGGTTGATTCATGCTGATTTACTAGTTTTTCGCTTCCCCTGTTCAGCACCGAACTCCTCTCCCCCCATAGTCGTTGTGGCCGATGGCTGGTGAGGGAGCTCATTCTCCCATTCTCATTGATTTTATATGGTGCGTATATATATATATATATTTATATATTGGCTTTCCCTATTTGCATTGCTCGGTCCTTCTTCCTCTATTGTCTTTACATTGTCCAAAACTTCTGCTTCCTTAATTCTACTTTGTTGCTGATTTAACATGAGGATAGGTTTGAAGCTTTCCTTCCTCGTCACTTTGTGTGTAAATGTTTATGTGACTGAGCTTGCAAAGTTTCCCTTGTTATTTGTTCTGCCCCTATATATGCCTGACTTAGGAAGGGACTTGAACTGAAATGAAGTTAGTTTGGGTTGAGTTTTTTCTTCATTTTAAGTTGATTCTTAGTGCAGAATTTGATTGAAAAAAATATGATAAATTCAGAAGTTATATTGGATATTGTTGGGATGAGATTTGAATAGAAGTATTAAAATCAAAGTCTATCAAGAATTGGGATTGAGAAACTTTTGTGTATATTAATGATGAAGGTTATTTGATTTGTATTTTAAGAATTATAGAAATTAATTTATAAGTTATAATTAGGAATTTGCGTGGTATACCAAATGTTTGATGAAATGAGTAAGAGATAAATTTTTGAACTATTGAGACAATCAAGAGTGATGAAGGTATCATTGATTACACTATAAAACAAGTAAATTACTTTTTATGATGAAGCTTGGAAAAAAATCAAGAAGTTGGCTTATTGGTGATAGATTAGTATTTGAACTTATTATGTGAAATTATGAAATTTGTTGGATCAGTTTGAGTCTTGAAGCACATGGAAACAATAAAGAAATTTGTTATACTTAATAATATTTATGATACTGAACTAAAGGTGTTATGCGATCAGTTGTGATTGTGTAGGATAAGAAATTGTACTGTCATGAATAAAGCATACTTTTGTAAAGCATCGTTGGAGAACCTTAAGGATAAATTACTTATTGGTTACAAAAGGAAGGGGGCATGGTTGAAATAAGTATATTATTGTAGGTGTGAAAAAGGAATAAGAAGCATATAGTTTTTAATATGTTCTAGATTATATATAGTAGGTATATGAATGTTAGTTAGAGATAAATGAATTAGAGTTTTTAATAAAGAAAGTTCTTTGTTCTTATGGTTTAGGTAATAGAGTACGTAGCTAAAGAAAAGTGTAGAGGTGTTTAGAAAGAACATATAATTATTTTGGGAGCTTATCAGGTAAGTGGATAACGTCCCAACTAACTTATCAATTAATTTTTCTTATTAAAATTTATTTTGTTTCATTAATCATTTTAATAATAATTATGTTGATTAGTGGATACTTTGTTAATCAAATTTCTTCATTTTTAAGTTTTAAGATGGTGGTGAAAAACGATTCATCATAACATATGAATGTTTTATCCCTTATGAGATATCCCTTCAGGATTAATAAAATTCTGTTTCATTAGCATTGGCAATTTTTGATTATTCAATAAATGCAAGCATGAGCATTAGATATGAAATTTGATTTTGGCAAGTTTTAATGCTTAAAAGTATTCATTTGAGTTTGATCTTGAGAATGAGAACTGTATCTTGAAAGTAATGATTTTCTCGCATGTTTGAAAATGGTTTTAAAAAGGGACTTTATACAGAACGCTGATTGCTAATGGCAGTTTCATTAGCCCTTAGCGCGCCATGGTACGCCTAGCTAGCAAGGTGTTTATAGGAGGTGCTAGCCTTGTGCGATGGCCAACGCATGTGGAATGGAGGGATGGTTATTCGTGAGCATCGTACTCACGTTTGTTTCGTGGTTTCAAGCCGTGTTTGATTAGCATTACCCTCATGGACTGTGTGTCCACATTTGTTTTATGGCTTTGGTCGCGTTTGGTTACTTACCCTCGTGAACTGAGTGTCCACGTTTGTTTTCATGGCAAAAGCCATGTTTAGTTAGTTACCCTCATGGATTGTATGCCCATATTTGTTAATTATTCTAATAAGTCCCTATATTTATGAATCCAATCGTTTGATGATTTCATATTCTATTAGTTTTTATTTATTAAATTGTTTATAAATATTTATTTCATTTATGTGCTTTCTTAAAATCAAGTGATATTATCATTTTCTATGGTAGTTCAATGATTTGAGATTTTATTTAAAATTTATAAAGCCATTTTATTATGAAGTTTATAAAATTTTACGAAAATTTTGTCTATTTAACTTACATAACTATTTCAAACTTTTCATTTTATTTATATTCTATTATTTATTGTTGGGATGTTATTCATTGAAAAAGATATTTTAGTCTCAGATGGTATAGTTGAACTCGTGACTCGAGATATCCACTGAGGAGTTTTATTGCTGAATTGAAGCAGAAGAATTATTTTTGTCAAATCCTAATTTGATGAAAATTTGAACTTTATACCTACGTTGGCGTCTGGCCTTAGGTGCTTCACGTAAACTAGAGGTAGGATCCTTACATTTCCTTTAAACTTGAATATCTGATTTAATATTGTAACAATTTTTAATTATTCTATTAGTGTTTTTGACATATTAATTTCAAAGTTCCTCCTATCACAGCTTAAGGGATGTGAGGTTTGTGTCCATATCCCATGCCGGTCACACCTGGTTATTGGGGTGTGATACGTCCCCCTTCCTTTACCGTCTTCGACCCCCGACCCCAGATCCCCTTTGTCCTCCCTCCCCCACCTCCTTCGGCCCTTCACTCCCCACCTCTTTTGGCCCCCTACCGTCGGGGCCCCCATTCCTTACCCCATTTGGCCCCTTACCATCGGCCACCCTACCCCTTCCTCATTTTTGCCCACCCCCTTCGGCCCCCCACCATCGGCTCCCCCACCCCTTCCCCAGTCTCGCCCCACCCCCTTCATCCCCCTTCCCCTACCCTCACCCCCTTCTGTCACTCCTCCTCCTCAGTGTTGCTCCTCTATTACTCCAGGTACCTTTCTTTTTTTAATTATTATTTAATTGTAGTTTTTTAATTATTATTTAAATAATTGTTGCTGAATTATTTTTATATAAAATTGTTGTTATTATTATTTTTGGATGTCTAATGTGTTTATGAAAAATATCCCAAAATTTTATTGATATTAATTATTATTGGGGAGTGCTGTTAATGGCTTTATAAGGCTTTAGGTGTTGTATGTGATTATTTATTTAGTAAAAAATTATAAATTTTTTCTTGTAAAATTTTTGGGAGGTCTAACTTATAGGGGAGACTCTGTTAAAATTTTTTTAAATCTATTATTTTTCATAAAATTACTTAAAATCATAGATTAGTTAAGAATTTATATTTTTTGAAATAGTTTAAGACGATAACATACACATTAGTTTTATTTTTCTTTAGGTAGTGACATATGGATCTCAGTTGGATAAATACTAGACTAACAAGTAATGTGTATGATAATAGGGTGAAGGAGTTTTTGGAATTTGCTAAAAAAATATTGTTGACAATAGTGATAAGTTATGTTGTCATTGTATAAATTGCTTGAATGAGAAGAGACTAAGTCTTATTGAAATAAGAGAACACTTAATTTGTGATGGAATTTGCAAGAATTATACAGTATGAATTTGGCATAGTGAACGATTAGAAAATCATAATGGTAAGTGTCAATATGTGAAAGTTGATAATAATCTTGATGATGAAGTGGATATAGATAAAGATCAGTTAGAAGATATGATCCGTAATGTTAGGGAAGAGGCCTTTGAACAAGTACATGTGTATGATAACTTGTGTACTAATGCAGAGAAGCCTTTGTACCTGAGGTGTATTGATTTTAGTTTATTATTTGGGATGTTAAAATTAGTTATATTGAAGGCAAGAGCTGGGTGGAGTGATTAGAGTTTTACATGGTTGCTAGAGTTACTCCAAATAATATTTCCAAAAGGAAATATACTACCAACTCGTTATTATGATGCTAAAAAGATCTTGTGCCCAATGGGTATGAATTTTTAAAAGATACACGCATGCCCTAATGACTATGTACTATATAGAGAAGAGCTTGAAGGGGAGGAGAAGTGTCCAAAATGTGAGGCATCATGATAGAAAGGTTCAAGCACTTGTTTGTACATACGAATGATGTAAAAACTTGAGGTGGCATGCAGATGAGAGGATTTTCGATGGAAAATTTTGACATCTAGCTGATTCTCTTTAGTTGAAGAAAATTGATCAATTGTTTCCTGAATTTGGCAATGAACCAAGGAACTTGAGGCTTGGACTTTCTACTGATGGAATGAATCCTTACGGTAGCCTTAGTAGTATACATAGCTTATGGCCTGTTTTTTTGGTGATTTATAACCTCTCACCTTAGCTATGCATGAAACAAAAGTATATGATGTTATCCATATTGATTTCAGGACCAAAACAACCTAGAAATAACATTGATATTTACTTAAGACCTTCGATTGAAGACTTGAAAGAGCTGTAGGAGGTAGGTGTGGATGTGTTTGATGCAAATCGAAAGGAGAATTTCAAGTTACATGCTATGATCTTTTACACTATAAATGACTTTCTTGCATATAAGATTTTGTCTGGGTATAATGTCAAGGGTCATAAAGCATGTTCAATTTATGAAGGAGGCACATGCTACATCAACTTCAACATGAAAGGAAGACAGTCTACCTTGGCCATCAAAGATTTTTTAAACAAGATCACCCTCATCATAAATTAAAGAAAGCTTTTCAAGGGCACTAAAGGCACCTTCATGCTCTAGATGCTTTGACTGGGGAGCAAGTCTATGAACAAGTGAAAGACATCAATATTATCCTTAGTAAGACTCAAAAGAATATAAGTGCCAAAAATATATGAAAAAATGGTCTATCTTCTTTGATCTTTCATATTGGTGCCTTCTCGAAATGAGGCATTGTATTGATGTTATGCATGTGGAAAAAAATGTATGCGATAGTATTATTGGAACACTTTTGAACATGCCAGGCAAAATGAAGGATAGTGTGAATGCAAGATTAGATTTGAAAGAAATAGGAATACGAGAGGACTTACACTCGAGATCAGAAGGTAAGAGGACTTATTGTCCCCCAGCTTCTCATACATTATCCAAGGTGGAGAAAACAAGTTGTTGTGAGTGTTTACATGGGATTAAAGTGGCATCAGGGTATTCTTCAAATATTAATAAGCTTGTGTCGTTGAAAGAGTTGAAATTGGCAGGCTTAAAGTCTCATGATTGTTATGTCTTAATGCAACAATTATTACCAGTGGCCATTTGAAATATATTGAAAATAGATTTGAGGCACACAATAACTAGACTTTGCTTTTTCTTCAATGCAACATACAATAAAGTTATTAATCCCCTCAAATTAGATTACTTGGAACAAGAAGCTTGTATTATCTTATGTCAACTTGAGATGCACTTTCCTCTTTCATTTTTTAACATTATGATACACTTAATAGTTCATATAGTAAGGGAGGTAAAAATGTGTGGCCTTGTCTACTTACGATGGATGTACCCAGTTGAGATATATGAAAAAATTGAAAGGATATGTGAAGAATCCTTACTAACCTGAAGCTAAAATTGTGCACTCATAAAAAAGGATGTTTTCATGGCTCCATGCGTGCACTCGTAAGGACCAATTTATGATTGAGATTTTTTTGTTAAATGTAGATTTCTTCTAATAACTCACTTTATTTTGTAGGGACCACCGACAACTGATTGTTCTTTTATTGAAGAGTAACACAGTCTTCTTCTTATACTCCTTGCATTACAAACCAAACAAGGACATAAAGAAGACCATAGACTCATAAGTGTACTTGTACAAAAACTATTAATTTTTATGGATATATTAGTTACAAATCTTGTGATGTTGATCATAAGACAATGAAAATATATCAAGCAATGGTCCTGAAAAAGCACCCATATGAACTAAAAGATCCTACGTGGATTGAGCCAAAGGTAAGTTAAAACTAACACTTTATTAATATATTCAAATGTTAATATTTATTACCGATTCCCAATTTCTTATATATATATATATATATTTATATTTATATAACGTCATAGGCAATCATAGAAGAGTAGTTTGTGTGGCATATATGTGATGAGACACATGCTCAATATCATCACATCGGAAATAACTGAATTTACAAATGAGGTAACTATATTTTTAAAAGCTAATTTTATTATTACTTGAATTAATTAGTTAATGTTTTAATTGCAATTTTATACTTAAATTTAGATGTTTGATATTGTAGATCCATTTTCAAAGGAAGAGGTTGATGACATCCTCACATATTGGGCACAATATTTTGTGGATATTATGTGAGATTTAGGTAGTTCTTTAGAAATTGTATAACACAATTTGAGTTCTGTGTAATTTCTATAAAATTTTGTATGGAAATTTAGATTATTTATATGTATTTGAACTAGCTGGCGAGCAGTAAATTGTATAAAATATTTTCATTTACATGAATTAGAGAAATAAGTAGAAATAAAATTAATTTTTTTAAAAAATTACTTTTAACACTGGTTCTTGCCTTCACCAGTGTTAAAAGTACCCTTTTACACCAGTTCTTGCCTTAACTGGTGTTAAAAATGTAGTTTTAAATGAAAAAAAATTTCCACGAACATTTTTCAATAGCAGACATAAGCCTGTTGTTGAAAGTATATTTTTAATAGTAGTTGTCCAACCGATGTTAAAAGTCACATATTTTTAACATCTCCTTAAACAACAGTGGTTGTGGAACCACTATTAAAAGTATTTTTTACCCACTGTTAAAAGCCTATCCTATAATAGTGTACGTGACACATCATATTGTGTCCTATTATAGGTCATGATCAACCAACCTTACACCCTCCTTATTTTCTCCAACTGAAATCGTGCCCTATTATATTGAATAGGGCTTCGTCCGTATGACTGGACTATCTAAGCTTACTAATTGTGAGGTGTGACCTAGTTAAAGATCACATTGCTCACTCTCAGTTCACAGCTTCCCTCCACTCTTAAATCTCTAAGGTGTCATATGCCCTAAGCTATTCTCCTTAATAAACTGGTAGAGAAAGATAGGTTCTTTTCTCTCGACAAACTATAGAACAAGACTATACCCCCATGTATTGGAGGGCAACCTAAGTACCATATGAATCTTCTCTACTCCTAGTCCTTAAGCGAACTCCCGGCCACTAATCATGTCATGTACAATGCTCACTTTCTATTTACATTCTCATTTATTCATTATCAAAATCATGATGTTAGGCTCATGACTGTGTGCTACTCAAGTAAGCACCAATACTCATTTTCACATACATTTACTATTTTCAAACTCAAGATATACATATTTGTCAAAATTCATCATCAACTACTTAATTTCATGTTTTACAAATTGCCATTCAGTTCAAGATTGCTTTTACACTTTAAAGTTCATTTCACAATCAAGGCAATTACATGAACAAACTGTCTCATAGCATGATACACAAATTCACACTACTACAAAATATATATTTTGAAGCGGGTCTTTAAGATCACTTAACAAAAAAATGCTCTTGAAAGCTAGATACGGAACATACTGGAGTGTTTTATTGAAAAAGCGCTCCTGTACGATTAGCCTTTAGGAGCGCTTATTAAACAAGCACTCCTAAATAACTAAAGAAATTCAAAAAAAAAAATTGAATCTTTAGGAGCGCTAAAAAATAGAGCACTCCTAGAGAGGTAAGCTTTCATAAGCACTCTTAAAGGTTTTAGCTTTTAGAAGTGCTAAAACAAGAGCGCTCCTGAATCAAACCCTTTCGGAGCCCTTAGTTTTTAAGCACTCCGGAAGGATAACCTTTAGGAGCGCTCTATTTGAGCACTTCGGAAGGATATAACCCTTATAGAGCACTCGTTGTTGATCACTCCTAAAATATATACCTGTTAGAGTGCTCTGTAAAAGAGCGCTCTAGGAGGTCAATCTTTATTTTTTTTAAATCACCCAATTCCCTCACTCTGTTTATTTTCTTCAGTGGTTTCTTTTTCTTATTCTCTTTTGTGTATCTCTTTACTTTGTCCATGCACTTGCCTAACCCCTCTGTGTGCAGCCTAACATTCTTGTTCGCTATTGCCGACAATCAGTCGCGCACATCTCTTCATTGTGTTGCTTGAGCTTGGATTTTGCAAATTTTCTCCAGATCTGTGCGTCTCTTCATCATCTCATTTTGTTTGATGTTTTTCATCCATAGTTTGGTTGTTTTCGCTATCAATCTTCATTCTATATGTCACATCGCCATTAGAGTTAGAAGTTTCTACATCACCGTTGTCTTGCAAACACCGCTATTCAGTTGCCGTTAGAGGTATTTTTTTAAATATTTAAATTATAATTTTTTAAATATTCAATATTATAATAAATTTTTATATAAATTTTAAAATAATTTAGATATAATATATAGATAACATGTGATTTAAATTATTTATATTGATATTTGAGGCTGTTAATTTCATGATTTAAATTCCTTTATTTTAAGTTAAGTTTAAAGTTTAGTTTAGTTTAAAGTTTAATGTAGCAAAATTAATTAATTAGAATGGAAGGTTTCTTTTTTAAGGGAGAATATTGATTGAATTTAGATGTGTTATGCTACTAAATTTTAATTTGGATGAATTGATATGTTTAGTGTAAATGTATAGTGTTGTATGATCAGATTATTTGATTATTTGGGAGGTTCTTCCTTTAGGAAAAAATCTAAGTCTTTGTTTCTTAAATTTCTATGACTATATTAGTGATATGGATTGTAA